CAATATCAATATCAAGTTTTATCTGTTGGGCCAAAAAGTGTAAGAATGTAATACAAGGCTCCTGATATATTTTAACAATAGCAATTGAAAAATATTAAAAATACATATTCACAATTTTTTTTATAAGCATTCAAAGATCGAATTTTGACAAAATTTATCAATATTAATCGTAAATTATCAATCATTGTAATTAATAAATTATAAAATGTTCAGTTTTTATAGCTAAGGATTGCAAATTTAAAACAAAGGTTCTCATAAATAGTTCATGATGTAACCAAAAAATCTAAAAAATATATAAACACAGTTATTTTTTACAGACATTTTAAATTCAAATTTGGACGAAATTACATAATAAAAACCTAGAATAACTATTTTAGTTATTTTGTTGTGATTGTATAATATTATTCGTGGGTACTTGAAACTTCTAAAGTATACTACTATACAGTATACATCTTTGATAGTATCAGGGTTTGTTGTTGGTGTATAACGCGTTATAAGTACCTAATGGATATTGTGATATGATTAATTTGAAATTTATTATAGGTCTTTTTTTTATACCATAGATAAGTATTTAATATGTCTTACCTATACCTAACCTGACATACAGTATCCGCTCAGAACCATTTTTCTTATACAATGCTATTATATCATTGAATTCAAATTTAATACTTTCCATTAGACAGTGACCCACATGTAACCTACTGTACAGCAAAGCACTTTTTTCTTATCGAAGGTACAAATAACGAATGCATCAAATAAAATATAACCAAGTTCTAGCCATCTAAAACAGTGTAATATGTATTATAATTATTTTGTAAATTAAAACAATGATCAGATAGGAAAAAAGTTTATGTGCCTTATGGAAGGTATACTGTAATAATCAAAGATTTGGATAAGCATTAGATATAGAACTGAAGTATTATAAATTAAAATGATGAAAATAAAAGGACTAATCTACTTAGACAATGTGTTTAAAAAAAAAACAACTACAGTCGTCACTCGATAATTCTAAATTCAAGGGGTTAAGCAAAAAGTTCAATTTATAGAGATTTTTGATTACACACATATATTGTATTTATTATTTATTATAGGTATATTTATTTTGTTATTTTAGATTCTGAGTGAAACGATGAATGTATTGATTTTACAATGATGTGTGTGTTTTTTTTTTATTTTTTTTTATTTTTTTATTTTATTTTTATTTTTGTGTCTGTCATCAGTAGCTTTTCTGATAGGAAAGTGAATCTAGTTGGTACTTTGGGGGGTCAAAAGTATAAATTTCCCAGTAGTTTTCACAAGCGCCGGGAAAAAACAACATAAAAATTAAGGAAAAACGGGAATTTTTACGCAAAATTGGTTTTCCAAAAAATCGATTTTGGTTATTGGTGTAACTCTAAAACAAATGAACATATATACATGAAATTTTCACTGGTTGTTTATATTTGAATTTTCTATACACGATAACAATTTCAAAATATTTTGATTTATTTTGAACTGTTTAGGGACATTTTCATTTTCCATTTTTTTTTAGTTTTTTTTCTAAAAATATCAATAAAATTTTATTTATTGGTTGCGAAAGCTTGAAAATTTAATAGAAGGCTCCTAATATGTTGTTTCAAAGGCAGATGAAAAATATTAAAAATCCTTAGTCACAATTTTTTTTATAAGCATTTAAAGTTCAAAAATTGACAAAATATGGAAAAATCACGAAAATTAGCAAATTATTTTGAGTTAAGAATTCGTAAAAATTTTTCTTTTTAAATCTAAGATTTGAAAATGAAACATAAGATTCCTTATAAGATTATCTACCTTTATCAATAAAAAAATCTCTACCGGACAGTCAAATTAAATTTTTATGAGCGTTTGAAATTCAAATTTTTACAACATTGGATTTTCACTCGATTTCTCATGTAGCGATTTCCTTATTTTGTTGTAATTCAAAAACGAATAACTGTAGATACATGAAAATTTCACTGAATGTTTATATTAGCATTTCCTATACACCATACAATTTTGAAAATATTTTGACTCTTTTTGAGCTATTTATGGACATTTACAGCTTTCAATTTTTTTTAGTTTTTTTTTCTATAAATATCAATAAAGTTTTATCTGTTGGGCCAAAAAGTGTAAAAATTTAATACAAGGCTCCTGATATATTGTTACAATATCAGTTGAAAAATATTAAAAATACATAGGCACAATTTTTTTTTATAAGCATTTAAAGTTGGAATTTTGACAAAATTTATCAAAATCTCGAAAATTATCAATCGTTGGAATTAAAAAATTATAAAATGTTCAGTTTTTATAACTAAGAGTTGAAAATTTAAAACAAAGATTCTCTTAAATAATTCATACTGTAACCAAAAAATCTAAAAAATATATAAACACACTTATTTTTTACAGACATTTTAATTTCAAATTTAGACAAAATTTCATATTTAAACCAAGAATTACGATTTTAGTTATTTTGTTGTGATTGTATAATGGGTACCACACGATTGCGTACGATGTACCTTTTTAAGAACACGATTGCGTACGTTAACACGATTGCGTACGTTAAACCATAAACTTTAATATTTACCCCAAAAGTCAAACGATTGCGTATGATTTGCTGTGCAACGTTGCCAAGTTTATGTTTTTATGTGTAATCAGTAAAACTTAAAAACTCAATTTTTGACAAAAAATGTTATAATATAGTATATAAAATAAATTATTAAAAATAATAAAAGGTTAAAATAATATAATAAAAAATGTTATACCTTGGTACCACTTAAAAATCTCAAATTTTGATAAATATGTTATAATATAGTATATAAAATAAATTATTAAAAATAATAAAAGGTTAAAATAATATAATAAAAAATGCTATACCTTGGTACCACTTAAAAATCTCAAATTTTGACAAATATGTTATAATATAGTATATAAAATAAATTATTAAAAATAATAAAAGGTTAAAATAATATAATAAAAATGTTATACCTTGGTACCACTTATATAACAAATTTTTGACAAATATGTTATAATATTTTTATGAATTTTGTACTTGTTATATTCTTTCATGGCTTCTTTTATACGATTTAAATCAGAATTTTCCATTTTTTTAATCCGACCTTTAAATACTGATTGAATTTTGGTACATGTTTCCTCTTGCGTTTCTTTTAGAATTGAAATAACTACATGGACGGAAGGATGGGAGCTATGAAATTGAGCGTTGTAAGTTCGATGAAAACTTTCAGATCCGTTTGTCGTACTTAAAAAAAAAAAAAATAATAAATGCTTAATTATATAGTTATTATAACAATTATATAGTTTAATATTTACCGGGGATTTTCGGATGGCTCTTGTGCCCAAATTTCCGGTGGAAATAAACAACCATTCTCCACGTATGTATTTAAAATATAGTCAGAAAACAAACATCCAATATTTAAATCGGGACAAATTGATATGAGTTCACCAAACGCATTTTGGATATCTTGAAAAGGTAAAAATGGTAATCCAAAAAAAAGTTTTAACCATTTTCCCAAATCGGAGTTTTTAGTGTAGGCCAAGCGAAGTTCTTTTTCAGAATTAATCTAAAAATATCCCAAATGTACTATCGGTCTTAATTTATTTAATTCAATAAACTCACCTTGCGCCACCAAGACTGTCCTAAGTGAAAACGACATGCATCTATTTCGATGTTGGGGAAAACTTCTTTTGCCGCTTCATGGGCACCGATTTCAAAATCCAAATGTAGTTTAAGAACCAACAATTTTTTAAAAATAATTTGTTCGCATAGTTCTTGTAAAAACAACCACATGTCTGCGTAAATTTGCTTTGATTTATTTGGTAATAAAAAGTATGCCACTGGCACATAAAACCCATTTTTAAAACAATTGATTGTATAAAGTTGGGCAAAAAATTTTGGTGCATAGTTGAAAGTACCATCAGCGAAAAATTCACTTGTACTTGTCATAAAAGTAAGATTTTGTTCTGTAGTAACACAAACAAACAGTTTATTGTCGGGAATAAAAACAAATTGTTTACCTTGAAATTGTATTATATCGTCATCTTCCATTGCTTTAAGTTGTTCAATTGACTCCGTTAGTGATTTTGGAAAAGCGGGATAATTTTTTCGACGTTTATCGTACATTGCTTTTCGAATCGACCGTACATCTCTGTGCTCGATTTCAGAGTGATTGCCATTGCTCCCCATAAGTTCGTTTCTAATTATTTTTATGGGTCTGACACAAATAGTATTATTTGATTTTCTTTTACAAGCTTCTCGTAGTACTTGTCGTTCAATGCTCTGTTGTGAATTTTCAGGGTGGTGGTGTTCATTAATTGTTTCATGGACATACTCTCCATTTGTCAAAATGCTAGCATAACATGATTTTTTTGTACACAGCCATTTTTTAATTCCGTCTTTTCTTTCCCTAATAAACCGATATTTATGTAAATTTAGTAAAACTAGTGGTTTGCCTTTTTCAGAAGTTATAAAATTAACTTTATTTTCCATATTTCACTCGAAAAACACGAAACACGCTAAGAGGTTGATAATCCCACGACGGTTCTTCACTGACTTCGTTTATTAAACGATACGCATATTGCAGTATACATATTTTATCGGGTGCGAGTATCCTAAAATATCCTAGTAAAATACCCGATTTCGTTATCGCCTATCAAATATCACCTATCGCCTCTCAATTAATTTTAAATTGTATGTTCTATTAGTTCAAAGCAAATGGCAACAGTGCTTCAAAGTTGCAGATAAAAATCGTACGCAACCGTGAACATTAAATGTTCACGATTGCGTATGTCAATAAAGACCGTACGCAATCGTGTTTCACCGTGTATAATATTATTCGGGGGTACTTGAAATTTCTAAAGTAATCTACTATATATATCTATGATAGTATCAGGGTTTGTTGTTGGTGTATAACGCGTTATAATTACCTAATGGATATTGTGATATGATTAATTTGGAATTCATTATAGGTCAATTTTTTTTAATACCATAGATATGTATATAATATGTCTTATACCTAGAAGGACATACCGTCTCCGCTCAGAATCGTTTTTCTTATACAATGATATTATATCATTGAATTCAAATTTAATACCATCCATTATACAATGACCCAATTGTAACCTACTGTACAGCAGAGCGACACCCACTTGCCCACCTTTTTATTCTTGTTGTCTCTCTTCTGTGAATACAGTCAGATGCACACGTCATAATAATATTATGAAGACTTGTAAAAAAAACACTGGAAAAGGAATCAGTTTTACTTGAGCAGATAAAAAAATTTTCATATTTGACTTTTTACAATCAGTATTATTTAAATTTATACTAGAAACTATTCAAATGTTAACATTAATATATTAAACATAATTATTGTTTTTATTATTATATTATGTTAATTAATTAACTTTATTATTCTTATTATTAGATATTACGATTAAAAATTAATAAACACCAAAATTAAACAATAATTACACATATTTTTTTTTTTTTGAGATAACTCAGACAACCTAACAAATATTGGTTGGAAGTATTTGTGGAACTCAATTCAATATTTGGGACTCAATTCAATAACACCGATGGAGGGTCAAGCTTCACCTGGGTGGAAAAAAAAGAGGAACTCTACCATAGTTTATCCAAAGTATTTTGCGCGCGTGATGGCGTTGGACGAAAATATAGTGTGTTGAAGGTTGAGGGTGAACAGCGAAATGTTTACTGGAAGTTTTCCTTTTACCTTTCAAAACTTCGAACGACTCAGTGCGCCAAGACGGTGACAGTGACCGTTTTTGGCATTAATTACACTCTTCCATGGATATTATGTCGCTCGATACAAGTGACAACAAGTAACAGTACAACAACAACACCAACTGGACTTGAGTGATAAAATCTGGGTACGGAATGACAGCGAGAATGTGCTCGGAGCTTAACGATGGTGGAAAGAAATGACTGCAGCGAGTTAAGCAGTATGTACTAAAACAACGAATAAATAAACAATTATTAAATTATTTATCGTTGATATAAATATAAAATAAAACGATATGATTATACGATGATTACATATTATCGCTCTAACTATGCACAAACTGTGGTCCAGAGGTCACCTAATTATTCATCGATGACAGATATCATAGTAGATTTTGTATATGGGGGGGGGGGCTACCGTAGAGTACTGTATGGGTGTGACTGTAGATCTAACTTGAAAAATTGACCACTATGTATGTATACATAATGTTCTGTACTCAACGACGTTTTTAAATATTTAGACTAATACATTTTAAGATATTTATACCACCAACTTATTCACACTATTCTAAGGTATGTTGGTATTGATTAAAAATGTAGCGTAGACGGCTTGTTTTCAACAATTAGTTCAATCTACTAAAATAAGAAAATACAAAATTCGCTCAGAATTACTTTTTAGTATACAACGATTAAAACATATAAATTCATAAATTGAATAAATGCATATTACCTACAAAGATATTATGTCGATGGCTTAGTGCACACTTGTTATAAGTCCATTTTTTCCGAAAAACACTTTTTGATACTAATAGATAGAAAATTGAATTCTCTTTGTTTTTTTTCAAGGTCTTTGTATTCTAAAACCAATATTTCATGTGATATTTACTATTTTCACTTATAATGAATGGCAGTTAGCTATGTTTATTTTTGCCCTAATGTATTAAGTCCTCGACTTTTAGTGATAAGTCCTTAAATTTTGTACTTGTATAGTTATTTTAATGCACACTTATTATATGTCCGGACTTAACATAAATATGGTTTGTATTCCCCAATTTATCAACTGCTCACATGTTATAAGTCCGGACATATAACATGAGGGCAGTAAAAATATTTCAGTTGTAGGACTTATTTCATTTGACCATAACCATTTACTATAAAGAAGTGGACTTATAATGATTTGTGTTTGATTACAAACAAGTTCAGTAATATTTTTTTGTTTTTAATAAAATTATTCCCACGTTTTGATGAAAATAAACAAAGAATAATATTATACTCGTGTGTTGTTGTCATAGAGTAATTAGTAATTACTCTATGGTTGTTGTAGCTAAATATGATATCAGAATATTATTATCACATAAACAATAAATAAAATATGTTATCAAACTAATCTGTTGTGCTTTAATTGTTCATCCCATTAAATGAAGTTCCTTTGTGTTATTAATATGATTTCAAATAAAATGAATAAATTATTTACTACTTAGGAGCTTAAGAGTTTTTATAAGAAACAAAAATAAATTCGATTTAAAGTATAGGTATCCACTATGAAAAAAATAAGTTATAAGTTATAAATTATAAGTCCATTTAATATTATAAGTCAATATCTATCAAAATTTATTTTGTCAAATAGTTATAACTCCACATCATTTTTTAAAAAAAGTCAATAACATAAATAAATACATGTTACATGAATTAAACTTATATATAAGGAAACTACATATATTTTTTAATTAATACAAATTTAGAAAAAACGATTAGATTAAATATTACTTATATTAAGTGGGTTTAAAAAAAGTTAAAATTTAAAATAGCTCTCCTGCACAATTTCACTTTTGTGACTTATATCTAGTGTGCACTAAGCCATCGATGTGTAATACAAACTATACAACAAATGGCCAAGTTCTAAAGTTTTTCTATACATTTATGCAGTACGGCGTAATGCATAGGCAAAAGTGGTACATTACTATTTATACGTATTTTACTACAGTAGTTGTGGTATGACAATATAACTTCATAACATAAATATTTTTATTTAACAAGGCCGCGGAACTTCGCGAATATTTAAAAACTGATTTTTTTTAAATGACCCCATATAAATGCAGATGTTATCAAAACTAACTGTAGGGTTTTCAATAGATAATAAGTAGGGCTCGGATTTATATGTATTTATTTAACCAAAGTATGTATTTATACAACAAAAATATGTGCTAAAACATTTATAATATGTATTATCAAAAAAATAAATAAATATTGTTATTAATTAAAATGAAATGTAATAAAAAAAATATTTATCTAACTATCTAATTACTAATTATTATGGTTACAATTAATATAAAAAAAATTATATCGGGCCATAATATACTCATAGAATTTTTAAAAAATCTTGCAACAGTTTGGTGGTTGCATTTATCTAATTGTTCACAGTTTAACAAAAAAGGCTGGGATTTACTGTCATTTAATTTTCCAATAATAATATTTGCAATAAATCTACCATCTACATCGGTTGTTTCATCGATTGATACCCATATGGGTCCATCACCAATTGAATTTCTAATAGACACAAGAGTTTCTTTGTAAATTGGTTGAATATAATTTTTTCTCAAAGTGCTTTCATCGGGAATCGATTGTGCAGTATATTTTTCCAAGAACGATTTTAAATTAGAATTTTGAAGTTTTGCTAGCGGAATGTCAGCTTTAATAAAAGCTTGACATAAATCGATGTTGAATGTATTAGAAACTGAGGAAGACGTAGATGATAAAAAATTTTGTTTGAATTTCAGCTTTCTATTTTTTTTCTCTTTGTGCTTATTAGTTTGTAAATGTTGTGTTACCTGAAATCGTTGTTCAATTGCTATCGATTTTTCACATGCAGTACAATACAAAATTTGACCGTCACTTTGTAAATGTTCATCTGGAAATTCAGTAACATATTTTGTTGCTTTGCAAGTTTTAGATGATCGTACTTTCGGCATTATTGGTCACACGTAAATTAAGACGTTGTTTAATACACAGATTAAAGTATTAAACCCACGAAATTAAATTAACACGGCCCGTTCGTTACTGCAGGTATACTGACTCACTGTCAACTGTCAGTACTTCAAACGCAGACGCGTTTTAATAACTCGTTATCTTTATGAGGTCATAAATATCAAACATATATCGACAGTAGATTAGATTAAGTTTAAAAATTGGTATTATTTTGTACTTTTGGAAACATGGGCAAGTCTGTATTAATAAATAATAAATCGTAAATGAACAAATTGTCGAAATATGTAGGAAAAATGGAATTATTGAGAAATATGTAAAAACATGTATTTATGGCAAAATATGTAAAAAAATATGTAAAATAAAATATAGTTCATTTTATTGGAAATCCCTTGAAACGAATTTATCACTTACCTAAATTAATTTATCAAGTCACAGTAAAAATATGTATTTACATATAAATCCGAGCCCTAATAATAAGTAATCCTTAACTGACTGAAAGTAGTTATGGCATAAAATATGCATCAGTAACTGCGTATATAATTACAATCCCCTCGTGTTTTAATATGTTCAGTTGTATTATTTTAGTTGTTTGTAATATTCAGTTATGTCAAAAACTCTTAACTATTAATAGGCAAATGGCGAATTAAAAAAAAAAACGAAAATATATTTTTAACATCTACTCTGATCATCTAGAATACCAATTTTTTGGGCGTCTTTAAGTGCAACCAACGAGTAAAAGGTTCAAACAAAATAAGTTAATTTAGTAC